CGGAAAACTGAAAAATTCCCTGCTGTTCTAGGTCGGTGTACAGTCATATACGGTAAACTTGAATATACATCCAGGTGAGTCTTGTCAGATTAAAAGTATATGTCGAAAATAACCTTTAAACGGGCATCAAACATACTTTTCACTAAGCACAAGGTTGTGGTTTTTTTCTACTGGTCTGATGTTATTTTATGTGTTATGTTCTTATTAGCTGAAAGTAAAGTCTTTCAAACATCTATCTGGGTGTAATTAATCTATATGATTGTGTTTCACTCACCAAATGTTCCTGAAGTCAATGTGCTTTTCGATAATATTCGAATCTAATGAATGAGTATATCTGTGCGCCTGAAGCGTTGATTGGAGATGCTAGGCTAGGTGGATGATCACAGATTTGCCATAATGTTCTCCCAGGTCAAACATAAAAACATTGACAACCCCGCCCACTCCTTAAATGCATCAAAACGGATCAGAATCGGTTACGATAAACGATCGAAGACACGGTGAACCCATCCAGAATCGACCTCCTGTGCAAGCGGCACGACTAGTTTGGGACGACGAGTCAAGATTTTAGAGTGAAATCATTGAACATCACCTGCAACCGTCACGTGGATAAACTTGTGCTAAAAGAAAAGCGCCGATTAGCGGTCAATCGATCCTCCTTTGAACCGAGGACCGGTGTGCCGTTCTCTTTGGTTTCTGGGGAAACGGGAGCCCCCCACAGCCCCTCCCTCCCCTCGAGCCAGTCCGGCTTCGGCCGTTCCTCCCTGACACGCACGTGCACTGTATCATTAGCTAACTCCTCTCTGATTCTCGCATCATTTTGTCACAGAGGAACGACAAGAGCACACGGCGGGAGGCTGGTGTTGAGAAACGTGGTCGGAGTACCTTGAATTGTCCGCTCCGGGCTGCGGTCGCTCTACCGCCGTGGGGTGATGAGCTGTTGGTGGGGTGATGAGCTGTTTAGCTTTCGCTGTCTCCGCCTGGCGTTTCACCGCTGTTTAAGTCCCTCGTCATCACGGCTTAGCCCAAAACGCGACAGGCGCAAAGTGCCTGAGCATATTCCCCTGAAAGTCTCCGGACTGGGAGGCAAAAACGAGGAATAATTTAAAAAAAAAAGGAAAAGAAAAAAAAAGCGCGCCACGGCTCACATTCACAGCGAGTTTAGTTTCACCCCAAACAAAAAAGGAAGAAGAGGCTCGCTCCACTGGGGCAACAAGGCGGACAGGCGGCGGTTTCTGTCAGTTACTGTCGCTATTCGGAGGAGGGGAAAAAATCAGGAATGCCGTCTCCTCCGCCTCGTTTCATCCCATTCATAGCGACACCCAGCAACTCGCAGCAAAGTCCTGCCTTTCCCCGGTGCCCACCGAAGCCTGTTCCAGTTTAAAACTTGTCAAAAGCCAGTCCGGCATGTGCTGCTCCGCGGAGGGAGAGAGAGCACACCTCGGGCTGGATACGGACTGGAACAGTCAGAGCAGGGGGAGCAGCGGCGCTATCTCTGCGCTGCGTTCACGGCCTGTCTGAAACTTGGGGGGGAATTAACCCACCACACAGACGTTCAACTGACAACCGCTGAAGTGGTTTAGATGAACTAGGTTTCGTTGAAAGCGCCACTGAACACAAACAAGATGTCCATAACAGCACAACATATGTGGAGGAACACATTGGATGGTGAACACAGTGGATTTGTGTGGGTAGAAAACCGACTGCACTTGAATTAAACGAGTTAAGTTGCAGGGAAATCAGAGCTCAGTCAAGATTCCAGCTCAGTTTAAAAGCTGCTTTTCAAGATGGGTTTCTATGAATGATTTCTGCCGGAATCCATTTGTCAGTTTAAGGTCCAGATTGATTAGCGTCGATGGATATTTCTGAACATTTTTGCGTAAGCACAAGTAGCCTTATTATGCTGGAAAATATTTCCCTCACCTGAAAATCTATGCCCAACCTTTTGTTACTTCCCCTGATGGGATGCAAAAAAATATCCATAAGGCCAATAATATTCATATTATTACACTGTGGCAAGTGTAAGATACCTTGTTCAATTTGCACCAAGCTGATTTTTCACTCTTATTTTTTACAAAGCAGGCAGGTCATTTAATGCTGAACATATGGTTTATTCTTATAATTTTTAGTCATCTTCAGCTTTCTTATCTTCTATCTTGACCATCGTTCACATGATGCCTTGGATAAATATGCAGAGTAAAGCATCAATAAGAACATGTACCCAAACCCACTGAAATGACATTTAGAAGCAAGGTGTTTTTGTCATTAAAAAAAAAATAAAAATCCTGATCACAACAAACAATACCTCTTTATATACGCGCCTGCATTTTGTTACTTATTTGAAGGAAACTGAAAATGAAGTCTAAACGGCACTGAGCGCGTCGTTTGCTTTTGTAACTTCAGTTTAACAGTGACAGTTTATATCTGTACTTTATAGTTGAATCATTTTTTTTTTATATTCAATCCCAGATGAACCTGTGACCCTCTGAACGTGGCAACGTGTGACCCCCATACTGCACCATTCATGCATGTTGCAGATGTGGAAGATTCCGTTGGAGAGATCCTCCTGGTGCAGGGCAGACATGAGCTGAAAGCTTCTCCTCCGCCAGTCATTAGCCCAACGATGAACCCACCTGTTTGCACCAAGACCTGCAGCAGTGGGCTGAACCCAAACAATGCAGCTGAAACCCGTCGAAAGTTCAGACAGTTGCGTTCCACTGCAAAAAGCTGTGACCTTTATTTCAATGCACCACACAATGTTAAGAATCTGTTGCCATCCATCCGTCCATCCAGGTGTTTCAGGCCCATATGGCGCCAAAAATAAAATGTGGTTATGCTTTCACTTTTTCACAAATCCCACTATTATGGATCCCATGAGGTGAGAAGTTTCATGTGATGTTTGGCTGCTGTTGGGACATGCTCGCTGCCATCAATCACCTGCATGCCGTTTCTCGGCGTTCATCTCACACTCACACTCGGCTCCGGATCAGCGAACGTTTCCTGTGAAGGAGCTCCAGTCGCCGCTTTGGGAAACTGTCAAAAACAGTAGCGAAAGATGGAACAGCATAGGGCAGATGCCATTAATACCAATGTGGTCTCTGCAGATTCCTCAACCCTCGAGTTGGATGCGCGAATCAATTTGATTCACGCCTGCCCCCTAGTGGCAGATTCGGTCTTTACACAGCAGCAAATGTGTCATAGTCAGGATTCTCAGTTTTTGAGGTTCTGTTTTTCCCTTTAATTCTGGTTAAACAAGAATCTGTGAGCAAAGGCTTTGTTGATAATATTACGTGATCATTTTTTTCTTTAGACTGCAATTTTGCACAAATAAAACAGTTTTTCACATCAAATATTTGTATTGTTTCTTCTTCCCTTTCAGGACTTTTTGTTGTTTGACGTTATAGTCCAAGAGGTTCCATTCCTACTGACTTGTGCGTCAGGCACCAATCGTAAAAGCTTGACCAGCCACAGCTTCACCGGCCATTTCCTTAATGACATTATGAGCTGAGGGAGCTGCTGCCGGAATAAGCTTCGCTCCCCTCGTTCGTTTGGATCAGTTCTTTTAATTTTCTGAGTGCTTGGCAGAGGCTTTGAGAAGCCCCGTCCGCTCCAGAGGCCTGGTGACAAGCTGGAGCTCTAACAAGCTCACAGGGGTCCAAGAGACGGCTCTGACCCAATCTGAGCAACCCAGATGTCACATGGAACCCCAAAAAGGTGGATGGTTTAGCACGGCTCAGCAGAATTTAACCAGGTTTCTGACCTGAGACAAGTTGCCCCGCCCGCATTCTTCAAATCTTAACAGAAATAGAAGCAGAAGGTTTGGGTAGCAGTGACTTCTTGTGGGAACATGCACAACCCTCTACGCTAATAAGATTTATTGATAGTAATAAACCTACGCCAGCTTCGCATTTCTAAAAAAAAAAAAAAAAGGCATCAAATTTGAAATCACACTAAGATAAAGAAAATGGTGCAATACTTTCAAGATCCTCAGCAGCAGCTCGTTTTACACAAATCCGAGGATTTGTCTCATGAAATCTGCTATTTTAACTTGGAAAAAAAAAGTTTGACTATGAAATACACTTGGCAAGATATGAAATCAGATGTTTCCATGGATGCGTTTATTTAATCCCAGTTTGAGTTATTTCGCAAATGCAAACACTTTCAGCTTCAACATCTTCCAAGAATGGTAGATATCTGGAGTGATTTCAGCAAAATATGGTTTTGTGACACATCGACTGCGAGGCTCAACATACATGCATGCCACACTTTTTAGACTGTGGCATGTATGTGTGTAATTATTTTATTAGTAATAGAATGTAAAATTAAGTTTAATTTTCCTGCCATTTCACAATCATGAGCTACTTTGCAATTATCTTTCATATAACATTTAAAGAATACACATCAGAGGTTTTGATTGTAACATAATGCTATGATATGAACTGGATTTGTTTTGTCCTGTACAGTGACTTGAGATTACCCTTATGAATTAGAACTTTATAAATAAACTGAACTGAATAACGTATAAGATATTATTCTTCTATAAGGGATTATTTAAAAAAAAGTTAGTGATCTCTAAATACTTACAGAAGCATCCTTTAGGCTCATATGGTTTGTGTGCCTTATGAAATGTCCACTTCCTTTTTTCATTTAGGTATTTTCAGACATTAAGGATAATCTCAGTCAGTAGAAAGATGCTTATTGAATATTCAAAATGGCATTTTGAGAATTTTTCTTTGGTGATGAGCTCCACGTGTTTGAAGTCAGAAGGCCTTTTTGCTCTCCAACTGATGTTTAACAGACTTTCTATCAGATACAAGCTGGAACTCTGAAATATCAATATTACTTATTGGTGTTTGAACCCTAATCTGCTAAAGATGTAAGTAATTTTGGGCTTACCTGTTGCATGAAGTAAGCATGAAGTAGGGCCAGAAGGGGTAGTGTCGACTGTCTGCTAGATTTTATGGTTCCTCTTTGTGTGTGTAAGAACAAACAAAACAGATTAGTGAAAAAAGTTATTTGAATTTTTATTGATTCGAAAAGCTCATTAAAATAGAGCTGTCCTTCCCCCACCCCCTCTTTTTACATTTAAAACCATGATCCGAAGCAGCTGAACAAGTTCAAGAAAGGTACAGGAGAACCCCAGGGAGTGTTCTGGATGATTGGCACTAAACTATACAGAGACAGAACTGGCTAAAGTTCAGCCTGCAAACAATCAACAGGCAGAGGTCACTTCAAAGTCATCATCACACACAGACACGCTTATCAACGCCCAAGGCAAATTTCACCTTCAGGTTCCACGGGTGAACTGTCCATTGTTAAGATTAAAAACAGCAAGAAAAAACAGAAGTCCTAAATAAGAGACATTAATGTTGCTTGTTTAACTTTCATTCTCTGCTGACATTATAGTAAAAGCATCATAATCAAGTGTCTATGCGTGATTAGATTGAAGTGAGGCCAGATGACATTGATTGGAGATGCACCAATCTATTGGTGCGTGTTTGGAATAAGTACAATTTTCCCTTGATTGGCTTACGAGCGTTGGCGTAAAAAAATAAAATCAGTTCATAAAACACTTCTAAACTAAGAACTCAACCGCCTGAACTTCATACTTTTAGCTGAATAAAAATCAGTTGGGGGGGTTAATGACAATTTGACTTTAAAACTCTTGCGTCCGTCAGAATCCAATCCATACTCCTCAAGAAAACAGCAGGTCAGACCTCAAAGAAAACCACGAGTGGCCAAAAAACATCTGATTGATGCATCTCTAGTTATGATAATTAGAAGTTATATTTTTAAATTGTGCTCAGAAACTCTTGCCGCTGCATCTGTCGTAAACAAAACAGAGAGCAGAAAACTACTGAACAGAAGGATCGTAGTGCAAATTAAGAAAGCTGGGCTTAGAAACAAGTCATTGGTGACTGTAACAACCAAATTATAAACATACCAAAACTCCATTTGTTATAGAATCCATTATAACAGCTTGATGAATGCGTACTAAAAGTAAAAGGTTGGTTAAAAAAAAAGTACCTTACAATCATGCCTAACGCTCACAAGAGCATTGGAATGTATGGAAATATCTTCCAAATGATAATCAATGTTTGTCAAGTTCATGAAGTGTGCTACTTCCTGTTTGGGATTCTGGGAGCAAGCCACGTTTGCAAAATACAGGCAAAGTTTGCAGAGAAAAAAAAGCAGAGGATGGCAGCAAAATAACCCTATTAATGAGTTCCTATCACACTGTTGGGTTCCTGTGAAGTGTCACACAAATGTGTGATAAATGCTATCGTTTAGCCACTCTTTAGAAAGCTACTGTATGACAACAGTTTCCTCACAGTGCAATGTTCCAGCCACGTATAAACATTCACCGCTCTCCCAAACACACCTGTGAGTGACAGACCGAAGTGCACCGTTGGAAGTTGTCCTCCTTAGCGACTGCCGTCGTAGATGCCACAGAGATAAAGTACACAGGCCACCTCCAGACTGATTACATGGAACAGTGAAAGACAGAAACTTGCTGGCGCCGATTCATCAGTCGGAGTGTGGCCTGCTCCATGTAGATAGTGCTTCAAGATTCTTAAACCCAAAGCAACACAACTCCAGCCCGGCATTGTTTGTTCCCTTCACACACACACACACACACACACACACACACACACACACACACACACACACACACACACACACACACACACACACACTGGAATTCACTCATTCAATCACTCACTCACTCACTCAACATTTGGACTGACACCTCTGAGCTGTGTTCAGTCAGACACAGCAGGAAGTGGAAGTGCCCAACTGGCTTAGCTCTTGTCGTCCTCAGCGCTCTGACTGTGGGACCTCTCTGGATTGGAGGAGCCCTCGAAGCGCTGTGCAGCAATGATGGCCTGGTGAGACATGCTCTTCTTCACTATGTCACCTTTCCTCCACAAAACGATTTCCTGCATCAAAGAAACGGCATGAATCACATTCAAAGTGAGAAATTTTACCTGAAGCTGAAAGTATTATTTTCACAGGTGCTCCTATGAAAAAGAGAAGGCAGCTCATCAACTCAACTTAATTGACTAAACTGATTAGTCAATTAATCCACTTTGCTACTCTGGAGCATTGACGTGTGTGTTAACGCAATGCCGAGGAGAAGAAGACATCAATAATTGCTTCAGATGAGGATCTGTTGCTGCATGTTATTGTCCGGTTCATCATTTTATCTTTTCAAAGATTCATCGTCGTTGCAAAACATTCAAAACAGAACTACATTTGGGGGAAACCAAAACCACACATAACAGTAACAAAAACATCAGCTGTATTTTATTCATTTCCAGCTAACTAGCTGTTATGTAGCTCAACTTCTGTTGTTATTCATTCTTTACAATCAAAACTTTTATCTATGTACTCAGATAGAACTGTTCTCTAGTTTTACCTACCATTCAAAGGAATTTACAATCCAACTCATTTTCCTGCCCACCAATACAATAATATACTTGACTGAGTAAATGTTCATTTAATAGTCATATTTTGTTATTTTAATGTGAAATCTGATCTGATAATTTGTTCTATTTTTCCCACCTCTTAGTAAAATTTAAGCTCTGTCAGTAACAGCAGGAAATCTAAAACGAACCAGCTGAACAAAAAGAAGTAGAAGTTTCAAAAGTTCATATGTAGGCTGTGAAGGTGATGTAAAAAACAGCGACTTCAAGTTACTACAGCTAAAGGGAGTTCAATACGTTTTCCAGTCACACAACGCGCTTACTCTCCATGCTGCTGACCAAAACGTTCTGCTCACCTGTTGTTTGAAATAGCGTCTGTCCTCCTCGTCTATGAGAACCAAGTTGAGGAAGTATCGCACCGAAAACTTCTTGTTGACGTCTTTCATGGTGGGTGTCAACTCGTAGCCTGCCAGAAACAGCCGGATGGGGATGGATTCTCCTGTTGCACCAGAAAACAGCAGCAGAGCAGTCAGTCTGCGGAAACGATAATAGTCTGGACAGGAAGAGAAAGGCAGGACTTGGAAATCACCTCTGACCGGAGCTCCGTCCATAATCTCGTACTTGGCAATGGTGTCATTCTCGTTGTAAACGCTGGGTCCTGTGCCGGTGGTCTCTCGTCTGATGATGTCAATCTCCATGTGTCTGATCTTAATCCTCACCAGGAGGAAGTAAATCTTCCCAACAATTACATCTTTTAGGTGATACCTGCAAGCAGAGAACCGCTTTAGCTTTCAGTGAGCATGCTACTCTTAACTGGACGGTGTGGTCATCTCATGCATTTTAATTACTTTTTTTAAAAATAAACTCTTACTTTGATTTATTGTACTCAAATTCGATATGCAGACAGTCCTCGATCCCCACTTCCATCTTGATGGAGGAGTTAAGGTCAGGGTATGTGCTCAGGGTGTGAACCACAATGTCCAGCTCCTTGGTGATGTCGCTGAGCCTCCGGCTTATTGTCACCTTGAGGAAGTAACTAGAAGCAAACAGTCTTTAGAGCATGTTGGAAAAACAGCAACATTGAATTGGAAACAATCAACTGACAGTGCAGTCAAATAGACAGGCAACTTATTAGTTGACCAGTTTGCGCATGTCAGACTGATTAAACTCTTCAACGTGCAAAGAGCTGACGTGACAAGAAAATCGCAGGTCACATAGGTAATGGAGGGGAAGGAGAAATATTTAAAAGTGGTGACGTTTCTAAGATTATTTTACAGTACAGTTGGATTATTCAGCTTTTCAGGTTGGGAAAATGATCACAGTCCCATAGCACTTCAATAGCTTCGACACAAAACCATCAACAGAAAGATGGATGGTTTTGTCACCATCATCAGGCTCTGCACGCTTTTATCCGCTTCAGATTCTGCTCAACTACTGTCTGTGTTTCACTGGATTATTCAAACAAGCGGTTTGAGGATAACATCTTCCACTAATTCCAACTGTTACCGTGACCAACGAGTTCAGTTGATGGGACAACTGACGGAGGACATAACTTACCGTAGCTTGACGTTCTGACCAGTGTATGACTCGTATGGTTTTTCCACATGTGTGAACTCGAAGTCAAATGTCTGAGACTGCGTCAGCTCTCCTGGCCGAGCCAAGTCTTTCACTAAAGACACAAACTCATGATGGTTCCCTCTGTCGTAGTACAGCTCTGAAAAAACACATTTATATGAGCGGACATAGAGTATCATTGACGTTTCTTTTGTTTAGGTTAAAAATCACACACACACAAAAAAAAAAACAACTGACTTTGGTCTGTGTAATAATAAATGCAGTTTCACTATTAGCTTAGGACTATATTTACATGTACGGAAACTTAAGGCTCATACTATATGAACTATGTCTTAGTTAAATAATTTCTGGTTCAGTTTCAGCTATCCAGAATTGGAAAAAAGCTGCATGTGATAATTTAGAATAATTGGTTTGGCAGCTAGCATGTAAAACAGCTAGATATCACATTTTTACACAGCTAACTAACATAACTCTTAGCGGTGGATCACTCGGCTCGTGAGCCGATGAAGAACGCAGCTAGCTGCGAGAACTAATGTGATTTGCAGGACATTATGTGTAAAAATGTGATATCTACATAGCCGATGCATGATTTGCTAACATAATATTAGCTCTTCTGGTGAAACAGATGTTGCCAGTGCATATCAGACAAACAGTGCAGCTCAGCACTGGATCAACCTGGATGTGCACATAATTGTGGTGTTTTAAATGAGTTGCTGTCCGGGCCTAGAACAGAACTTTAAAATTATTGTGTGATGCGCTGGTTTGTTACCAGTTTGTTACATTACCAAGCAACTACTTTCAACAGTTTCGCCTGACTTACTCTTCCATGCTTCCCTGTAAAGAGTCCCTAATGTTATTCAATCAACCTGAATTTTGTTGTTAAGCGTAAAGTTGATCCTCTCACAACTTTTGACAAATTTGCATATATGTTTTTTTTTGTGTGTGTGTGTGCATGTCTTTCAAATTTGGACAAACAAAACAGGAAGTTGTGAAACAATATTTCCCTTAATCCGTTTACTGCTTCCGAATTCACACAAAACTGCTCAAATGTCTATAAGTGAAGAAAGCTGCTATCTCCACACTCGCGTCTAGTTTGGACAGAATATTCCAAGCCTGTTGTGTGGAAAAAGTGTCTCCAAATCCACAAATTCTTTAGTCGCGTGGATTTGGATAAACCTCGGCCTTTGCCATGTCTGATTTGAATCTGAGGCTCTCCTATGAAACGAACTATAAAACTATAAAAAAGCTGCACTCTTTTTGCCCCTCCAACATATGGCACACCAACAATGTTCCCGACAGCAGAGGGACGCCTGCAGAGGTCGCAAATAAAGCTCGTCGACGGCTGATAGCGTCAGCTGATGACAGTTAGTTGTCACATCACGAGACATGATACTTTTTAACTGCCACTTTCGTAATTAACTTGTTGAGCGCTGACAGGAAGTGAAAACAGTTACCCGGTGCTATAGGTGGAATATATACATTCACCGCATTGTGAGTTTAGACAGTTTGAAAGCCTCTTGTATGTGTGCGTGCGTGTGTCACGCAATACTTTGGTGACTTCTGTCTACGGACACTGAAATAATGCAGGCCTGCTAGCTGCTTACCTATCTGGCCGACAAACTCCACTTTGATGCCATTGTGCTCCAGCCTCTTCCCCGGGTACTTGAGCGTGACGTTGACTTTCCCCGACACCGTCTCCCCGTCGTAGAATAGGAAATATTTGTCCTTCCTTCCGTCTTCGCTGCTGTGTTCTGCTTTCTTCCTCGTCTCGGCGTCGTTCAGAACTATGTCGAGCTCCGCGGTCTGGCCGAACCCGAAGAAGTTCATCACGGCTCGTGGGCTGCCTCGGCTTCTGAACGCGGCTCGCGCTTCTTCCTGGTCAAGAGCGGCACACGACCGTTGGCTCTCGCTTGGCTGTGAGGTGTCGAGCGCGAGCCGCTTCCCAGATTATTGAGCATTCCTAGTCGCGACCGAGCACGCATGCGTAGAAAGTCATGTGAAGGAAAGCTGTAAATCAAAACTCTTTCTACTGCGTTTATTCAACGTGTTTTGGACTTTAGCTTTATTCTTTTTATTCTTAAACGAATGAAATTTATTACGTATACTCCAGTTCAAGAGTTAAAATGAGCACAGTTTGTAGTAAAAACTATACTATCCGCTGCTTGTTTCCGCTCTGAATCGACTATGGTTGGTGCGCGGCTCTACTAGCTATTGTTACCCAGAGCAGAGACTTCCAGGCATCATTTCTACCCACCGTTAAGACTTGCAGGCTCCTTATTCATTTAAGGCAGTTGAACAGTTTCATATTATCATTTAACTTTTTTGATACTTAAAAGCTAACAACTGGTAGTACTCTGTTGTTTAAAATTGACTTCAAAGACACGTTTTAATTATTTAAAGTAAAAAGAAGAAGAAAGAAAAAAGCGAACCAAATTTCCAAACTAAGGTGATAGACCTTAGTATTGAGCTATTGATTATTTTGTTGCTGTATACTGACTACCATTAGGTTTTTAGCATAGCTTCTTTTATTTAGGTTTTGCATAATATCTGAGGACTTTAAAAACTCCATAAGGTTTAAGAAGTTATAAAACGACTTTTCCAAAATGTAAAAGTTTTTATATTGAAAGATAATTGTGGTCGTATGTTTGCATAATTGAAGCAAAGCCCACACTGTGCACACAGCAGGTTCCGGGGACTGCAGCAGTCCGGATGACCAGCAGAGGGCAGAGTGACACCACATGAGTCCATGGATCGACTTGAGTGCCCTCCTCCATTCTGACTGAGTTCAGACGGGTTATGTTTAAGCTGCGGATGTTTTTGTACCATCGTTCTGCACTGTATATATATATATATATATATATATATATATATATATATTATATATATAATATATATATATATATATATATATATATACTTCTAAGCAAGGATTTATGCAGCATTTTATATATATATATATATATATAGTTAACCACATCACTGATAGTTAACCACATCAGTGAACTATGACATCAGCTCAGAGTAGACCCTGAGTTGTGTCCATTAATTTTGTTGTCACATGAGTAAAAGAGGGGAAAAACCTAAATTCTTACAGCCTATAATCTGGCTGATACCTGATTAGTGATGTGGTCGATAATCACATAATCAACATCATTGGTTGCAAGTTCCTTTAAAACTTTTAAGATTTTTCTAAAAATTAGAATAATAATAAAAAAAAGAAGTAAATGCCGGTGGAAGAGTTTAGAGTCTTTAGAAAGCAAGAATTTGGCAAAAACTGAGAAGTCATCATATCACTCAGCCTGGATTGTCACTGGACAAAAAGAAAAAAAATAAAATTTAGCATGTGCCTGGAAATCATTTTCCAAACTAACTCTGATTTATTTATGTTTTTTGGACAAGATAGCGTAGCGCTTATGCTTTGAAACTGACAACAACCCAAGCGGTTTCCATTGCGACCCCTGACCTCCCAGAGCATAATGGAAGCTGGATGCCTGTCAGGTACCGTTGAGTCGGTTCTCTTCAGTCAGGAAGCAGTCAGATATGAAAGCTGAGCCACGGCTCATCGCTGCTGGGAGCGGGTCGTTCTGAAAACGGCGCCGCGCAGCTTCATCTCGATACGACGCTCCGCCGGGGAAACAGATTTTCCCACCAACCTAATTAGTTCCGGTGACTTATGAAAAAAAAAAAAAAAACAGATTACGACGATCCGCTTACTGTGAATAGCTTTGTGATCCATCCTGACAACAGTTAAATTGCTCCTCTGCAGCTCAGACGTAACGACATTCTTTAATACAAGCTGAGAGTGAGACACAATCAGGAGAGAAATTAAAAGCCCTCAACGAAATCCTATCAGGAATTGTTCGCTTGCTGGTCTACCAGTGGCAACGACAGAAGGACTTTGGCCTCGCTGAGTTCTAAGCTGCCCTAAAACAGATAATATTAGTAATGATAATAATAAAAATTAAAGCTGCAAGCAGCCTCGAACGGCCCTCGCAGCCAAGCGCCGCTCCGGCCTATTGCCACCGCGGGGTACGAGCAACCGCCGCCTCACGCCAGCCACCACAGAAGTTCTCACGCAGTTTTCAGCGCCTCCGCCCGCACCGCGGAAGCAGTTGCTCAGTTTCCATCAACGCTGCGCACGTGCTAAGACAGAAGTTGTTGCGCAGTTTCCGCGCCCGTCCTCCAGGCGGTACGCATCTATGCGTTCGGCGGCTATCCTTCAAGATGCAAAAAAATGTGGTATAGATTCATTGGTTTAGCGAGGAAATACAGCTGGCGGATTAATGTAGGGGCGCAGTGGAGTCAAAATACATTTCAATGCTGTTTTGCTCTTTAGAGGTCAACAAAGGTCATACGTTTTCAATTTGGCACCAGTCCGATGATCCACGTGTCATTTAGAGCCGATCATATGCACGTGGCGAAGTAATGCATTTCGTCATTTCTACACCCCAATGCGGTTCGGTCAGCAGCCAGCATTCATAGAGTTCATTATGTTATCATTTTTAGTCAGTATTCACATGATGAAACCCATATAAATTATAGAATAACAGTAAAACATACAGCAGAAAAAAACATGTGATGCCTCTTAAAAGTGGGCGGGGCTACAGTGAGGTCATCAAGTGACCATGGAAATGTGTTCAGGGCTGTTCTCTAGAAAGACAGAGGAAGTGTGATGATGCAGCTGTGATCTTGCATTTGGAAGTCATTTAATGTTGATGTTTCATGGTAAATAGTGAAAGTTTTACACTAAGCCACACCCACATGCTTGATGTTAACTACAACTGAGATGTAAATGCAGTGCAACTTTAACGTTATCGTGAAATGAGTCAGGAAAATGGTGAAGGTTAAGATGTATCAGTTTAATAAACCGCACTGTTCAGTAATAAACCAAGGGCAATGCACAATAACAGAGCACAGTTAACTTTCAGCAAGAACAATAGCACAGGCTGAATCCCATCCATTAATTAGGTATTAATCACAGGAAGTGCTGCAACTAAATATTACAACCCCAATGGATCGTTAAAAAGATACTTAGCATTTTCTCAGAGCTCTTTCAAACGACATTTTAAACATCTATACATAATAACAAACAACTCTCAATGTATGAAACTGGATGTATCACACACACTATTCAGTTTATTGAATTAGTAAAGCGCTTCGTTAGCATTAAAAACGTTGCAGGCCTCAGGCATTGGGTTAGCATCCTCCTCAGAATAACTGTTCCAAACATGACGGCTTCCAGAACCAGCAGGAAGGAATAAATTACTCACCGCACCGCGAGTTACGACTGTTTAAACGAACAGCAATGGGCTCTTTGCACCTGCCGCGCTGACGTCACAACTGTATACCCGAATGCGGCTTTTTTTTCCACTTTCAGAAACTATGACTGCTATAAAAGACAAAGTCGTACTTAAGACACAAATAAAACAATACTATGTACTTTGTTTAAGTTTTCATGGATTTCCAAGCCATCCTCAATTAAGACAGCTTGTAAATATTCGTTGCTACAAGTTAAAGCTACCACTTGAAGCTAACGCCGTACACACCGCTCTAAACACCGTCTTAATGAGCCATTCACAACAAGCATGCAAAAGTAATAAAACGAAATAACACAGAAATCTTAAGCAACACGGCCATATTTTTCTAAAAGTAATAACTCTGAATCTGAACAGTCAGCTGAACTAGAACTCCGATACCAGAGTAAGCTCTGTGCTCGTTTTTCTTCGTCATACTTCAAGCAAAAAGTCTGAACTGTAATCTGCCCTCCCCCTCCCGCTGCTTTATTGTCGTTAACAATAAACACACGTAATATGCTTGAAAATAAGGCACAAACAGTGTCCGTTAGAATGGCTGAGAAATCTTTAGATAATTAAATAGCAGATTTTTACTAGAAAGCTAGCAGGCTTGTGCTAGCAGTTTAAAGAAAATAAAACTCACCTTCATATCTGTGAATGTATAACGAGGAGAACATCTTAAAACCTTTCTTTGCCTTACTTGTTGGGGTTTCGGATCGATGTACATTATTAATTGTTACCTTGGAAAAACATTTCAGCCGTGTTTCCCGAACGTGTAAGCTGAGATGCAAAGAGCCCATTAAACTTCTCCAACTCCGGTCCAACAGAGCCTTCTTGCTCCAAAGCGTGGTTCGTATTTGCAACTCCAAAATCCAAGCAAAATGTTGAGCGTAGTCCAGTTCTGTGGCTCCAAAAAGCAAGCAAAATGTTCAGGAAAACTTTGCAGCTCCAGCTGTCGCCGGCTGACTGTTATTACGTAGCGTCGATCTGTTTTCTCATTGATGGAGTACCACTGCCTCCTGCTGTCGCAATACTGGTATTGCACTAGCAGTACCAGTATTTCTCCACAAGGTGCCAGTGGTACTCCATCAACACTGACCCCAGTGTGTTCTTACTTCGCTGTGTCATAAGTTTTGCTGAATGACTTTGTTTGTATTATTTCTAGCAAAAATGAATGAATGTTTGTACTTTAACCCACAAAATAAACTTATATATTTATAAAAAGTTATAATAATGTATATTTAAATAATTAATAACAACATAACCTATGGGCTGCTGTTTTCTAGGGGGCGCTATAGAGAAATTAGGCCACGCCCTACAAATATTGTGATGGATTCCAGTCGGGGAGTGGATAAATATTCATCCTTGTGAGTTTGCAGCAGCTGAGCCCGAAAATGTGGTATTGAGAGCCAAACGTATGGCGATGGCGTTACAGGTAACTTCGCCACGCCGCCATGCCCACCTGCTCTATCGTAGCTGGTCGGGGTTGGAATCCTCAATACACCAACATGTCTTCGGTGTCTGGGCACAGTTTCATGTTGATGAGGTCAAAGGGGTCGGATAGCGAACGTTCACAGTAAAACATTACACTTCCTGTTCTCAGGGGGCGTGGCCTAAGTGATGTCATCATTCGACCATAGGGTATTGTAGGACACCCGATGATGATCAATCACAGAAACTTTGGTGCCTCTGTGAGTTTCTGTGTAGGAGATATAGCAGTTTATGTTTTTATGGCGAGTAGGTGAACTTTGACCCCTGCT